ACAATATTTTAGTTTGGATGACCAAATGGCTACGTTCACAGGACATGCTGAATTGTAAATTAGCCAATCACATTTTATCTAGTGTGTTTTGCACACTCAGCCCGTGTACTTTGTGGATCGGTCACAATGATGTTAATTGAGCAAATCACACTCTGAAATTCAGATGGGCCCATCAGACAAACAAGTTAGAGAGGCTTGTTGTCTGCTTGATTTCGAATTAAAAAAAGAAACTCTTGATTGGGCATTGTTGCAGAATGGAATTGATACTTTTTTATACTTTACCACCACCACCCCCAGTTCTAGAAATGTTGCAGGAAAATTAAAAGACAAAAATAAAACTTGTTTTGAAACGGTATTTCCAGTGCACTTGATAAGCTTGCTACCAATGTGATCTTTGCTGAGTTCTGCTTGCAAATTATGTTCCATTCAGCATGCAAAATGTATTTTAGGCAAATATCACTGTCTAGATGACATATCCATCCAAGCTTATATTTAAAAAGGAAAAACATGCACTTACCTGTTCCTTAAATTGTTAGCTGTGCAGTAGAAGGCATATGGCTGACATTTAAATCTTGGCTACCAGTGAGCCTGTACTTCCAATACTCTAAATAGACTTTAAGTAACCACAGCAACAACAAACTTGCAATATAGGCATTCAGGCAAAGTCAGCCTTCTCCAAATCCCATCACTTAAATTTGTCATCCTATGGGACTATGGAAGCATGCCTTCTCTGTTGCAGTCTCAGCCCTCTGGAGTGGTATTCCCAGAGATACTAGGGGTCCCTTTCTCTTTGCTTTCCAGAAGTCTGTTAGACTGGCTGTGGAGCAGGGTTAAGGGAATGTCATTTTGGTCCAGCAGTCCTGAGGTTTTTAGTTATGTTTTGAATATATGTATTGGACTGGTTGTATACTCCCAGAATTGGATGGCCTTACCAAATCCAATTTTTTAAAAAATAATCCTCATTCAACATTTAAAAAAAATGTGAAGCACTTTGATTAGATACGTGTATGGGGACAATGACTGCAAGGCCCCAATCCTTGGGGATTCGGCCATGGGTGTCTACGCAGGTAAAGAGCAAGAGACCAGAGTGGGAGTCCAGAAGTTCAAGTTATTTTTTAATGGCCCCTGGATTAGGATTGGGTCTTCTCCTGTGGCCTTTCCTGGTCTTAGTTGAGCAAATTTCTTAATCTCTCTCATTGTCACATTGTCAGATTTTCTATAGTTTGGCTAGGTCCTAGGACTTTCATTTTTTGCAGAGTGACCATGTATGGTTCCTGAAAATGTGCCTCCCAAGTCTCTGTGGGGATATGGCAATCGACCATGGATGGACCATTGCTTTGGGAGTTTGATGTCATGTGCTGGAATTGAGTCTTTGGGTTTGACTGCCTGAATGAGATGTTCCCAGTTGTTTCTCATGGCTTTCTTTTTCTTGCATGCCAGTTGTTGTTGATAGAGTCTCTTCTGTTGCAGGAGATCCTGTGCAGCTGATGCTGCGTTGGATATACAAGCCTGGTAAGTGGTAGTTGGGGAGAGGGAGATTTGCCACTAACACAGTCCTGGTCAAATCATGATTTGGAGTGGCATTATCGTTGCCTTGAGGATGCATCATTACCATAGGTTGGATGTTGGTGGAGCTCTTAGCTATGGGTGTTATAGTTTTCCAAAAGTGTCCGTGATCTGAGGCCAATAGCTTGGTTATCATTTGGTTTAAATATGGGGTCCACTTAGCTCAATGGTAAATTCTTCCTGCTGGCATTCATAAGGATTGGTAGCAGTATGTGTTCCCTGAGTGAAAACGTTTAAATAAAGCACAGTTGAGAGATGATCACTATCAATCTTGGGAATAACTTCTAGGGCCTTGACATAAGGGAGAAGGTCCCTAGAAACAATTATGTAACAAATTGCACTAATTCTGGAGCCAGATAGATAGGTCAGTTTCACTGGAGGGGTCAAAGGCCCCATTTAGAATGTGGTGGTTAACCTAAAGCAGCGGTTCTCAACCTATGGGTCGCGACCCCATTTGGGGTCGATCGACCATTTCTTGGGGGTCGCCAAACAAGACGATCCGCCATTTTTCCCCCTCAGGGGGCACCGCCGCGCATGCGCGGCACGTTTGTGTGACGGGGGTCGCCTTCACACAAACGTTGAGAACCACTGACCTAAAGGCTGTTTAAGCCAGTCAGAGATCTGCAATGTTTGATTTTTTTATTGCTTGACCTATGTGTGAGAAGAAACCTATTATCTTCAGGATTGGAAGAGTGTCATGTGCTTTGTGTAGCAGGTGTGATCATTAGAGCCCAATCATTGAAATTTTGTCCTAGGACAGACATGTCAAACTTGTGATGTCACATGACGTCGCACAACGTATCAGGACGGTTTTGCCATTGCCGGCAATGGGGTGGGCGCAGCTTCCTGATGATGTGTCCGGCCTGTAGGCCGGCAGTTTGACACCCCTGTCCTAGGACTACAAATGCATTTGGATTCATTATTAGATTACTAGCATATATTTTCAGTTCAGTCCACAAGGTTTTGATCTGGGGTGTCTGTCTCATGGGAAGCATATAAGCATTTATCATCGACAGGGCATTAATACTGCCAAGACATACATTGAATGGAAGGAAGGGCCTTGATATGGCATGTAGTGTAGTAGACACTAGGATCCCCAGGCCTCAGAGTCTGCTGGAAGTCTGAAGGGGAGGTTTAACAGAAGTAATCTACCATGAGTGCCCTTCTCCTCTGATGCAACATCCAGGAGGTCTCCAATCACAGAGATGCCAATGCAGGTAGTCCTCAACTTATGACTTCACTTAGTGACCATTTGAAGTTACAATAGCACTGAAAAAATGACTTATGACTGTTTTCCACACTTATGACTATTGCAGCATCCTCATGGTCACATGATCAACATTCAGATGCTTGGCAACTGACTCATATTTATGGCACTTGCGCTGTTTTGGGGGTCATGTGATTCCCTTTTGCGACTTTCTGACAAAGTCAATGGGGAAGCCAGATTCACCTAAGTACTGTGTTGCTAGCTTGACTACTGAAGTGATTCACTTAACAACTGTGGCAAGAAAGGTCATAAAACGAGGCAAAATTCACTTAACCACCATCTTGCCTAGCGACAGAAATTTTGAGTTCAGTTGTGGTCATACGTTGAGGACTATCTGTACTTTAATTCAAGCAATGCGCGCGTCTTGCCTTCAGGCCTTAAGCTGAGGTCACGGAGATCCCCGGAATTGTACTTACATTATTCTCTACCCTGGTTGGCTCATCATGTATTCAGCTGAACTCTTGGACTGAACTGGTACTATTGAGAAGGGATTTCTCAATCCAGTCTGGAAAGATGAAGTCTTCTTTCATAAACAAATTCAAGGTTTGTGAATGACATTAAATCTAGGCTTGTGGTTCAATGTTCAAGTTCAGTGTGGTAAGCCATAAGGTGGTTTTTGTTTTTTTGCCTTAGCGTAGGCTATTATATAAAGCTAGCCACATTGTTCTGTATCTCATGGTTTATGAAGGCTTCAGGGATTTATGGGTAGCGAGATGACTGTAGTGAACAGGACAGATTTTTTGTTGGCCTCTCTATATACGAGGACAGTGGACAGATTTCTTCTTACAATGCCCAGGGTCATTGGGGTCAGCAGCGTACAACTACTACACACACACATAAACATACACCTCAGACTCTCTTTCCATCTCAGGGATTGTCTAGCCATACATGATTCTGCCCATCCAGTCTGAATTCCAAGGAAAGAGCTACTAAGAATCTTGCTGGAAAAACGTTGTCAGCTAGATTTTTTCCAGGGGAAGCTCTAACATTATGGAACTTGCTCCCCCAGGTGAGATGCCAGGCTCCAGCTCTCCTTGCAACCAGGAAGGCTCTTAAAAACATTTTGTTAAAGTGAGCCTTTGGTTTATGATGTCATTAAGGACAAGCATCTGAGCACGCTATGGTTTCTTTTTTAAAGTGATGGTTTATTATTAATATTTTCAGATTGTGTTGTTTTTTACTCTGTTGTGCATTGTCCACAGTCTTTTCTGATTGATATGGTTTACTTTTGAAAAGAAATTTTACCTCTTCTCACAAATCTGTTTGCTATTTTATTTAAATGGCATGATGTAATGATACTTTGGGACTGCCCCCTCTCCTCAATATGGCAGAGGTTTTTAGGCAAGTCACAGCTTCCCCCTTCTTCAAAGCAATGAATCCTACTTTACAATTGTGCAATATCTTCAAAGCAATACAATTTCTATACTATGTTCAAAGATGCCAAGATAGTTCACTGATTCCAGATCATCTATGAAGCGTGAAGCTGTCACACCAGCATTACCGTGATTTATTTAATAATGGTTTGATGAGTGAGACACAAAAATCTGGATTTCTAATTATGCTAGTTTGTTTAACCATACCTTATTGAATAATGTATTAATATAACACATTACTCCGCAAACTGATAATTTTGTACTAGCTTAGTTTGATATATGAATTTAGCCATGTGGCAATTTTGATTTGCACTAGTTTTCCCCAAACTTGGCATCTTCAGATGCTTTGGATTTCAACTCTTTCTTATAAAATCAGATCTTATTAAAATCAAACACAGTTGAAGAGTACCAAGTTCAATAACACAAATTACGCACAGCTAAATACTTTTTTTGGGGGGGGGGTACCCAGCCTGGAGTTAGGAATAAAAACTCAAACTCTGATAGGGCTGCTTGTTGAGGTAGCTTCACCAGGTAATACATACGGTGGAAATGACAGGGATACTCGTTTCGTTCGTTCTCTGAACAGATGTATCCTTTGATAGATATGGAACTTAAACTGTATGTCCAAATTACATATACACGGCAATGTGGAACGGGAGCAGGGAAAAAGCTTCTTCAAAAGTTGTGCATGGCTGTCACGCCTTAATAAAAAGCGCACAAGAAACAGGGAATTTAACATCTTTACATCTTCTTTCCCATCCCTGCAACTAGAAAATCAGAAAGGCTTGTTGTGCCGTCCCATGTACAGATATTTCCAGAGAAATACCAGACTTCTTTATTGAAGATCGACGAGAATAAATTACCGGGGAGTGGCGTCCAGCAGTCCGGAAGGATCTATATTTTATTTTTTTCCCGGGTTGTGCGGTTTCTTTGGCTATTTCTTAAGAAATAAATTCCGAACCACTTAAAATTCATCCGCATACACACATTCATCGGAGCCCTTTTTTAAAAAAAGAAAACCTTTGCTCCCCCGTTTTCTCCCGCCTCGATCCTGAGGCATAAGCACGCATCACGGCATTGCAGACTACATTTCCCAGAGAGCCCGGCGGCTGTCATCTCAAGCGAGAGCGGCGTGAGGTCGTCCTTCAGACCTGCCGCCGGGTCCCCGGGTGGAGCGAGGTTGAATCTTTGCCAGCGCCCCGATTGGTCGCCGCATTTCGTTGCCGTGGGCAGCCGCGGTCTGGGTGAGCCTCGCTGGAGCCGAAAGAGGGCCCCGGGGGAGGGTCGCGATTCCCGGGCGGGGGCGGGGGAAACAAGGCGGAAACCTGGGCTGGGTGCTGCAGCGTCTGCTTGAAGGCAGCCACAAATTAGCCGCTGGGCAGGTTAATTGAGGACACGTGTTCGGTCACGGTCACGACCACGCGAAGTCGGCGCGCTGCTCTTCGGGGGGAATGCAACTTTAAACATGCTCAGATGCTCTGTTTTCTCTTTGTAAAGACCCCCGAGTTGTTTGACACCCCACCCCAAAGCTCTTCGGCGTCCGCTCTCAGTCCGACCCCTCCTTTTTTCTTTGCCTTCAGTATTGGTGCCCCGAGGGCGTGGATGGAGAGCAAGGTCCGTAGGCCTTGTAGGGAGGGATGGTTGGCTATGATCCGAATTCCGAGTGTAGCTCCCTTTCGACTGTGAAAGTAGCAGCGGCGGGATCCGCTTCCGGATTGGTCACTCGGGCAATGATCGGCCCTTTTGATGTGCTCAAGATTCGCTTTCAGGTATTATCTTTATGACATTGGACATCCCCCCTCCCGTTCTTCCACTACTAGGAAGGAGCTGGTTTGGTCATTAGCTTTGCCTTTCCAGAGGTTATTTAATTGGGGTCCAATTACAGAGCCCGCTATTTTTTCCTCTGCTGTCTGCATAAGGTTTGGCATCCAGGCAGAAACACAGCTGTATGTTCCTTCCTTCATTGGCCCTCGTTTAAAGGAACAGAAGCTGGTTCTTGAAGGCACTGATACAGCTATCCAAGAGCTACTAGTTACGATAGTTATATGGAATCGGAGGCAGGTGGCTTGTAGGAGAAAGTTAGTGGAAGGCAATCTTCCCGACATATCTGGCTTGTGAGACTGGACTTCCACAAGCATCTGAGGAGCCCTGTGGGAAGAGTGTACTAGACTAGAAAGCCTTTCTGCCTGATCTATGGTAGCATAGTTGCTCCTGTGCTTGTATTGTGCAATTCAGTGTAGCGGCTTTTCTTTGGGTGTTGCACTGTCAGTTTTGGCAAGGAAGCCCAATGATGATTACTTAGGGCTGTTGAAGGTTTGTTTTTACTCCAGGGTTTTTAAAATTATGTAAAAGATGATTCTTTTCCTTCTGCATATTCTAAGTTTTGGGGAATGTGTTGTAGTCTAATATTTTCCCTTTCTAACTGGCACACCTTTGGGGTGAGCCTTCTGAAATTAGAGGCCAGTGTTGTGTGTGCGACCTTCCAGGTGATAGAAGTTGCTGGAAGGCTATGTGGGGCCTATGTCTGTTCTAAAGTAGCACAGTAATAACAGGTAGTCTTCGACTTACGACCACAATTGAGCCCAGAATTTATGTTGCTGACTAGAAATTTGTTAAGTGAGCTTTGCCCCATTTTATGAATTTTCTTGCCATGCTTGTTAAGTGAATCACTGCAGTTGTTAAATTAGTAAGACGGTTGTGAAGTGAATATGGCTTCTCCATAGACTTTGCTTGTCAAAAAGTCACAAAAAATGGTCACCGTCATCAATACGAACCAGTTGTCAGGCATCCAAATGCAAATCACGTGACCATGGGGATGTTGCAGCAGTTATAAGTGTGAACAATGAACATAAGTCACTTTTTTCAGTGCCGTTGTAATTTTAAACAGTCACTAAATGAACCGTAAGTCAAGGACTACCTGTATTTATATATTTCCTGCCAGGGCAAATAGTGATTATTCCCAGGTAAGCAAGTATATATCAGGCAGTAGCCTAAGACACTCTTTCTGATGATAAATATCATGGCCCTAAGACATTTTGGAGTCTTAAATTTTCCACATAAGTATTATATAGTATACTCATGCTATCATTTTTCAGCTTCAGATAGAGCAGCTTTCCTCCAAAAATCCACATGCGAAGTATCACAGTATCTGGCAGGCCACTGGTAAGATTTTTCAGGAGGAAGGGGTCACTGCATTTTGGAAAGGTCACGTCCCTGCTCAACTTCTTTCCATTAATTATGGGGCTGTCCAGGTGAGAACCAAACAATATTTTATCTATTCAGCCTGAAAATTGCTACTTTTCTTAACTTCCAGAGTAATCTGTTTAGCTGTCCTCTATGTTCCTTTTCAAAAACTGATTTAATTTTTTTTAGAATTAATATGACACAATTGAGTTGTTATCATGGAATATTATGATTCTGGGACTAAAGATTCATTCTTAGCAATACTTGGGATTTCGTATTAACTTTTCTTCATGTACTTTCTGTTCAGGTAATGAGTTAATTTAAGTAATTTTAAATATGAATTCAGAATCCCCATGCTTGCACAAGACTAATTACCCTATTTTGTTTTGTCCAGTTTTTATATTCTATCAATCCTTCTCTTAGAGTCCAAAAACTCTTTGCTCTATTTTCTCTGATTTCACTTACCTACTACAACTTTTCATCTCAGATCCTGAAATTCAAAATCACTCTTCTGATGATTTTTGCAAAATGATGAGAAGCACATCAGCTGCCTCTTCTTGTTTTGAATATTTAATCTATCTTGAATACTAGTTTGTAAATTGATATAACTCTGAGTGGTCTAAAAATTATGCTTTCTCAGATGTTGGGTATATTCATGTAGAATGTTAACTCAGTACTAATTGAGGCAGGGTTTACCCAGTTATTAGGGTTCAGCTATTGTAACATATTAAACCATTAAGTATATTAACTGGATCCATGCCCACTGAGCCATAAATTAGCCAATTGTTCAGCTCTACTGATACTTACAGACTTCCAGAGACATCCACCTCCTAAATACTGTAAATGAAATAAGTGAAAAGATAAATCAGTGTCCTAACTAATTACTTCAGGGATGCAAAACCTGAATTTCTGGACCACATGTATTAACAGAAATTGTTTTTTAAAAAATATCCTTGTGTGATCGGTGGTTCTCCTAAATCAAATGTGTAAATCTCTGATTGTTTTGGTTTTCTTTTACAAGTTTGTCAGCTTCGAATTTCTGACGAAGCTGGTGCACCATGGCACATCTTATGATGCTCGTGGCTTCACTGTGCACTTTATCTGTGGCGGTCTGTCTGCTTGTGCTGCTACTGTGACTGTTCAGCCTCTTGACACGCTGCGGACTCGCTTGGCTGCCCAAGGAGAGCCGAAGGTAAAAGATGAATGAAAGTAGCCCCAGTGCTTCCATATTAATTCTGCTCTTGCCAGCTGGATAATATTTTGGTTCCTTACTCTACCCCCACAGTATTTATTTAATGAAATGACACCATTCTGATTGGTTTCCAGCTTACTTAGAGTCTTAGGGGATCTTAGAGATCAATGCACTTAGAGATCAGTGCATTTTTTATCGCATAAGCTTTCATAGAAGGGGTTGTCCTCTGTATGTGTCACAAGATTCTTGGTTGATCTGTCAGGGAACTGACAGGCAAGGTTAGGAGGAATGCTTGGAGTTGCCGAGATAGTCCCAAAGGGACGTGATAGGTACAGTCAGGAAAATACTTTGATAAACAGCTGCATTTTGAGAAAAGCTATAAACCTGATAGAGAAGCAGCCTGACAAATAGGCAACCAATATATATCATGGTTTACAGAATGTGAAATCAATATCACTTGTTTACCAAAGCAGAGTTATTTTCATTTAATACGTTTGAATCCAACCATTTTAGTTTGCAGAATTTGGGGGCAAAGTGACAGAAGAGCTTGAGATCCCAGGTGGTCACTTTGTCTTTATCTGTCAGCAGCTCTGTAAAGAAGCTGCTCCTTTTCCTAGTCTGTCACTGTGCACCCAGGAAAATCCCGTATTTTAACTTAAGAAGTTAAGAAGTTAAATACATGTTAACATTTCCCCTATAGGAATAATCTTTGCTTCTCTTATGCAAATTTGAAATTCCATGCTCAGAAATCCTTTCTTTTGCGCAGAAAGATTATTATGCATTCAGAATAAGCTGTGTAAATCTAGATGTTACTATGCAGATAGGAATCACGGATACGTGTACTTTGCATAATAGATCGTTTTGCTTTTCATTACTCTGTAGAGAAGGCAACTATGTGGGAGGAGCAAAGGGTAGCATGGGGATTGTCAGGTCGTGACAAAAAGGCACAGGGCCTCTACTGCCAAAGATTTATGCCTGGCACATGGCAGAGGGGCTTCTCTTTAGGAAATCTGTAGAGATGCTTCCCTCTCTCTCTCTCTCCCTCCCTCCCTCCCTCCCTCCCTCCCTCCCTCCCTCTCTCTCTCTCTCTCTCTCTCTCTCACTCTCTCACACACACACACATCAAGCTTTTAACTGGTTAATTGTTCTAAATAATGATTTTATTGTGATGTGTTTTTAAAGTTTTACATTCTTTTTAAAAAATTCTTAGCCATCTTGAGTGCTCATTAGAGTAGAAAAGTGAATAATAATATCCAGACTGCTGGCATCTGCTAATACATTAAGATATCCTTTGTTCTTGGGAAGAACTGGATGGGTATGAAGGCCAATACCATCTAATAAACTGGTAGCTGTGATTTCACATGTGTATATACTACTACTACTACTACTACTATTACTACTACTACACTACTACCACTACTACTAATAATAATAATAATAACAACAACAACAACAACAATACTTCTAAGACTATCAAAGAACAACACCTGCCTATCCCAGGTCCTTGGGAAGGATTCAATAGGTGGAGAAATCTAAACATCTGATTGGCTATACAACTATCTATAATACAGTGATGACCAAAAGTATTAAGAGAGAGAGAGATAGCCAGTTCGGATAACTAGCAGGAGCCACACCTCTTAACAGTTGAAGCTTTTTGACAGCATAGCTGAAATCTAACTTCCATATTGAGAGAAAAATTTGGATCATGGTCAAGGAAAGATGCTCCTTCTTAAATTGTTTTAGATTTACAGGAACCTCCGCCACGCTGTGGTCAGCATGTACCAGAAGGAAGGGCTGCTGACTTTCTATAGGGGGCTGAGCCCAACCATCATTGCCATTGTTCCTTATGCCGGCTTCCAGTTTTCCTTCTACAGTCTCCTGAAGAGGTTGTACAACTGGATTGTTCCAAGCGAAGAGATGAAGAAAGGTTGGTGCCAACGGTGGGGCTGGGCAGGGCAAAGGGGGCAGGTGAGCTCCCGGTATACCACGAGGGCTGTCTGTCCCTAAGCTGGGCTTAGAGAGGTCTGCTGCCTCAAGGTTGGAAATCAATTGTCAGCAAAATTGTAAGAGTAAAATCGGTAAGTTAGAGGAACCCATTGAGAGCCTTTCATAAAGGTAATCCTGGCCTCTCTTAGGTTGACCAGTCCAGAGCTTTGAAGGGCGGGATCAGAGTTAGCTATGGAGTGCTTCCCTTCCCTTCTAACCTCTTGGTTTTTCAGGTAATATTAGAAACTTAGTGTGTGGAAGCTGTGCTGGTGTCCTCAGCAAAACCCTGACATATCCCTTTGACCTATTCAAGAAGCGACTGCAAGTGGGTGGCTTTGAGCAAGCCCGGGCGGCTTTTGGGCAGGTGAGAGGGGATTTGGCTTGTGGAAATCTTTCTTGTTCCCCTTCCTCTCTTTCTCTTTTTCTGTGGCAAATATATCAGGCAGTATGAAGGCGGTGGAATGTATCAGCTGAAACGACCAGACTTTCTCCCTTTTTATGCAATATCTAAATGAGGGGTTCTACCTCACCTGCTCTCCCCCCCCTTATTTTAGTGTTTTTTCAACCATGCCAATTCCCAGGTGTGTGGACTTCAACTCACAGAATTCTCCTCAATGGCCATGTATGGCTGTGGGATTCTGGGAGTTGAAGTCCACACACCTGGAAATTGCCATGGCTGTGAAACACTGCCTTTGATGAAGATATTACTAGAAGTATGTTCTGGCCACCACTGAGAACTGTAGCTTTGATGCTTGTAGCCTCCAAATATATGCTGGATGTATTGCTTGTAATGGAGCCATTGCTTCTCCCCTCCCAGCTATTTCTAAACAGGAATCTGGAGCTGATGCTTTCTCTCCTCCCCTTTTTTCCTGTTTCATGCAGAAGGATGACAATGAATCACATTGTGTTTTTGCTCAGCTCCCATGTTTTGACAGATTGCTTTGTTATACACAGTGCCTAGTAGCTTTAAAATGTGCAAAATCGAAAGAGGAAGTAGGAGCGCCTGAACTCAAGGCTTCCCACATCTTGTTCATGTAATAAGGCACAACTTAGATTTACTTCTAATTAGTGACCCGTTATTCACCCTTCTTCTTTCAAGATATTGAGCATATACCCTTTCACAATAAAAAATGTTTGTCCTGAGTTTCTTTTTTGTTCAACTAGCCCGTTTGTGGTGGCTGTTTTCTAAATCTCAGTCCATAGCTCTTAAGCATATTATTCCTGATTTATTTTTTCTCATTTTCTGTCTGGAGACCAATATGCATAATCTGACTGCACAGTGCTTCAGATTAGGTTTCCATGAGAGAGCACTAACATAGCACTTCTTGCCATGACTTTTCCCCCACGGTTACTGAGACTGAATCCAACGCCCTGTTATATCGAGAAGACTTGGTACCCAGCCTGAATCTTTGCTCTTGTTCACTCACTTCTTGTGCCTGACAGGTTCGAACATACACTAGCATCATGGACTGTACCCGACAGATAATCTTGGATGAGGGACCCAGAGGATTCTTCAAGGGCCTTTCCCCAAGCTTATTGAAGGCTGCTTTCTCCACCGGCTTCACCTTTTTCTGGTATGAGCTCTTTTGCGGTCTGCTAACAATGCAAGACTCCAATGGTTCCAAGAAGCAAGAAGGTTAATGTAAGCAAGAGCTGCTGTCTGACTCCAGTGGATGTTCTTGGAATATAATTCTGGCAGCTGACGTCATCATCGTTGGGGATTGAGGGGTGAGGCAGGGCATATGGGATTGGAGAGTTGAGATAAGTGACTTTTTGCCCAAGCCCAGGATGCACATCGCTCATTGCTTGGGTTCAAAACAGGAGCAGTGGCTCACCTCAACACCTGCTCCAGTTGCCTCTTTAGTCTGCAGCTGCAGCATTTGGGAGTCTTGATGAAGTTCATCATCAAGGCTTCTGAAGATCTTTGTTGCAAAGGTGTGTCTACTTTTCCTATTGTTTCATAACAGAGGATTTGAATCAGACCCCAGTTCACACACCAAAATCCCCTTTTGTGACCCTGGAAACTAGGTACTCTGAAACTGAACCATATGTTGACCGGTGGATGGCCAGACTCCTGCAGTATGGCCATTTTGAAGTGCCTGTGATAAGCTGGAGGTCCTGGCATTCAGTAGTGCTGATGAGACATTCACTTAATAGACAATTATCTGCCTTGACCATTCAGCCCAGGCAGTAAAAATGCTACCGCTGGGATTTTACTGGTGCCAAGTCATCCCACATTTCGGTTCGTGCCTCTTGGCTGAGGTTCTTGCAGGCTTTGTGACTTTTGCAGTGTTTCATTAGTGAGTCTGTGAAAATTGTCTGTTGCCCTAAAATCCTAAACAAAGCAGAGGAAGCTTTTCATAGCTTTCCATTCTGTGTTAGCAGGGCCATTAGTGTTCATGTGCCTCTTGCCCTACCTATACATAAATATATTTTTGCCCCTTCTCCAAATTATAAAATAGTCAAGCCTTTAAATTTTGTTTTGCACTATCAACTTCTCCCTTCTTACTAAAACACATGCTAAACACACATGCTCTATCTAAATTCTTAAAGAAGTTTTTCATTTTAAATGTTTCCATTTTCCAACTTTTCCATTTTGAATCAAAGTGAAAAAATAGCGTTGACCATGCAATTATTCAAGTTTCATTTTGTGAGAAGATACATCTTTTAAATTATTTTAAATGATTTTTCTTAAATAATGTTATCCTCTAATAGCTTTTTTTTCCCAAGAAAAAGCTCTGGAATAACAATGGATACTTTTTTACAGCAAACTCTTTAACGTAGTATAGTGGGGGGGAAATAGTTGAAGAGGACCATTTGCCTGGCTGAATTTGGCCCATTTTATATATGACGAAAGCTATAAAGAAAATTAAATGATTGGTGCAAACTTGTCGATTTTTACTCAGAAATAAATCCCACTATGTACATTTAGAATTGCAGCCTTAAAATAGTCTTACTTTTCAAGCCATTTATAGATTTCTCAAATTCCTGGTACCTGCTCTGTATTTACATTAAAAAGTTCACAGAAGTTGGCTGATAAGTTTGCTTTAAGGGCTTTGTCCTCACAAGCTGAATATTCTTGTACTATTTCATTTTTGCCTGAGGTAAAATATATGAGTTGTCATAGTTCCAGTTTCAAACACAGAGGAGAAGTTGGTTCTCTGTTCTCTGCCCATTTTCTATGCACTTCTCTGTAAAATGTAATGTAAAAACATACAAATAATATATATTTATTTCTTTAGATATTTTTGTACTCTATAATCTTTGCATAGTATCTGGGAAAAGCAGTGACTGGAACCTGACAGGATAAAGAAGAACTGGGAAATCGCCAAACTGACTTACAACAATCCAGTGACTTCCTTTCAGCATAGGGCAAATCCACATTCAGATACACTGCTGAGTTAAAGGTACTGTGGTAATACACAAGTACACTCCAGTTTGCTATATACCTGATAGACATAAGCAAAGCTTCTGAAAAAGGAAAGGTTTTAAAAAAATAAAGAGATTTGTTTCCAGCAGTATCTGCAAATTCTTTTTATAGCACTTCCAGTACTGGCAGGATGGAATTTTAATTCTTTTGGTATCAACTCACGCTGGATCGGTAGAATTGGAGCCGTGGTGTTTGGAAATACAGAGACCGCAAATTGGAAAGTTTTGAGTTACTTTCTTTTGCTTACCTACTGGGTCAGGTTGTTCGTTGTACACTTATCTGTATTTATTTTCGTAGGAGCTGTGAAAGTCACATTCCAGCTACACTACATACCATTGGAAGAGCCCTGGTTTGTGTAATCTTTGCCTTATGTACCTTAAGAACAAAGGTTGCTTGTGTTTCTCTGAAATATTTGTTCTGGACAGGTGGGTTCTTTTCCCAAAGTGTTCATAGGCCTGCCTTTCTTTTGTTGTCTAAGATGGGAATTGCTGATTCAGAGTCTTTCTGAAATGCACTGAGGGTAGGCTCCTTTGTCAAAAGGCAAACAGCAGGTTCATCAGAAATGCAGCGACAACTGTTCTTGACTCACAATGTTTTTTATTATTTTATTTATCAAATTTTGAGGCTATTGACTCCTTAATGACTCTGGATAGATTACAGACAAAAAAAACAATAAATATGAATAAGACCATTGTTTCTCAACCTTGACAACTTTAAAATGGGTAGACTTCAACTCCCATAATCCCCCAGCCAGCATATTGCCAGAATTGCACCCCTCTCCCAGCATGCTGGCTGAGGAATTATGGGAGTTGAAGTCCGCCCATCTTAAATTTGTCAAGGTTGAGAACTGGACTAGAAGAACAGAACACCAATTAAGAACCAACCATAACTAAAGGGGGTTCCATAATCACCCTGCCCTCGAGGGCTCTTGTGTCTTTTCCCACCTATACAAAAGAGGCATCAGCTCATGAAACTTGCTTTTCTATTCAAATTACACTCTTTTTAAGCATACAAACTAGCAAGCTTAAAATGCAAGCATGAAGTCACATCAGAGAAGGAACACTTGACATTTGTAGTCTCCAAATATAAGCTAGGTCACTTATCTTTCAGTTTTCTTCTAGCCTTTAGCACCTCCTCTGTTTCCTCAAATATGTTAATTTTAAGATATTGTGCCTTATGACAGTGCCAAAATCAGTGTATACTTTAATATTTCAGTGTTTACAAGATGGCATAACACCAGGTCAGCAATCTCTCCCCACACCTCCAAAATCGTTGATGGTTATTAGCTGGGCATCTATGCCAATGAGAACTCCGATACATTTGTACTCCTAGTACTGTAATCTAAATGATCTTTGTTGACATCTAGGTTGTGCAAGGTTTCAGATTCCATTACTGAGATTTTTGTTCACTCCCTGTGTTTAACATGAATGCTTAATCTATAACACTGTATCTGTATTTTTCATATAAAGATTTATTTTTTGTAGTTGAGACAGTTTGGACCACCGTTTTCTAGTCCATAGAACATGTGTCTATCGTGAAAGAAAAATAAATATATAAATATATTTATCATAAATTTGTGGATTATTTTTTTCTTTTTGCAATCGCCAGTCTTTTCTTCTGAGAATCCAATGGAGGAACAGCATGTAAACATCCCTTTTCATTTCACTGCACCCATGCAGTACCTAGGAAGGACTTGGGGAAGGCAGTTGGAAGGCTTTGTTAGTGCTTTTTATAAACAGTACCCTCAATGTCTGGTTATTGTATTTGGGAGTCTGTCACAAATAAAAAGGTCTGTAGGTGGTGTAAACCTGGAGGGAGGAGAAGCCAAGTTCAAGGTTCATAAGACTGTGTGGCTATGTGTTATTGTGTCTCTTCTCCAGAGACAGGGATATCTTTAGTCCTGAACTGGGTTGCACTTGCTTGTTCAGGACTTGTGCACAGCTGGGGGGGGGGGTTTCTTCGTGAATGCACAGCTTCTGCTCAAGAAACAGGTCCCGCTGAAAAATCTTCACACAAATCCAATCTATGTTCCAATAGTACCGCTCTTTTTTAGACTCCACTCATGCTTTAGTCACCTTATGCCTGGGCTACTGCAATGTGATATACATGGAGCTGCCATTCAACTGTAATGGAAAAACCACGATACTTACATCAGAAGACAAGACCACGAAGGGTTGGAGAAAACAGGTTTTATTTGCGCAAAGGTGCAAAGAATATTCATATGACAAATTCTGAACCCTGGGTTATTTCCAGGGTATCATTTTTATACAGCTTGCCGCCCACGCTTAACCTAATGGATGACTTCTTATCTACCTTTAACACACTAAAAGAGAGAAGTTCATGTCCTGAGACCACACACATAGGAAAAAGGGAAGTTTATACAATGTGCAGAAAACCACATTCCCCTACACGCGTAATATCTTACACCATTTGTGACTTTTGGTTGGCACCTCTTGTAAAAATGTTTCTTCATAGAATTGCACACAGGTTATCACATTCAGCCAGTTTATAATATTAGTTAATGCTTGCTAAACATCACTCTTGTTAATTAAAATATAATTCAAAAGTATTTTATCATTTCTCTTAATGGCAATTTTTCATCTACCTCACAACTACAGCTGGATATGGATGCAGTGACACAGGCAATTAGGGGCATGCCACATGTTGCTCATGTAGTACCTTTGCCCTATGAGCTGCACTGATTATTGGCAGGTTTTCAGAGGCAATTCAAGGTGTTGGTTATTACTTATAAAGCCTTCGTGACCTGGTTATCTAAAAGACTTTCTCTCTTCCATAGTTTCAGCTCAACCAGTACAATTGCGCAGAGCAGGCATATTCCACCTGCTTGTGGAAACCCTGTCTGTCCCATTTCTGATTTCCCCTTTTGCAGAACATTCCTTAAATGGGACATCATCTCCATAGAAAAGGAATTCTGATGTCCAATGACAGGTATAATGTAGCGTTACTTCTAAATTCAGTAATGTAATGTAGTCCCTGACCTCTGCGTATGCAGCAGTAGCATTAGTGGAGATGTGGTGACACATGAGATTTTAAAAAAGACTTTGAAAGTATGGTGTATATAATGAATATGCCCAGGATAATATTTCTGTCTCTCTCTGTGTGTGTGTGTGTGTGTGTGTGTGTGTGTGTGTGTAGAGAGAGAGAGAGAGAGAGAGAGAGAGAGAGAGAGAGAAAGAGATACAAACCATAAAGGAATTTGATGGATGCAATATTTATGTCATATTAAGCATATGGTTTTATATATTATGAGAGATTAGTAATCAACCCACTTATACTTAATTTTAATTATGGTGATCTCTGATTCCTGGATTTTGTCAGAATTTCTCCATGTTTTACAACTCTCATTAATTCTCAGAACTATCTATGTTCGTTTGAATTTATGGGAGTTGAATAAAGTCTACATATTGTTAATCTGTGCCAGTAATTATTTCAGTTAATGTATATCATTCATGAGACATTAGTAATTGGCTGCTGGACCAATTACTTATTTTGTCTCTGACTGTGTGTTTAACTGGTGTTTCTTATTTCCGATTCAGGCTTTAGCTGTTGGATCTCAGATTCTAGTATGGAAAGGCAACCAAACAGGTTAATTCTTGCAGGATGAAATCTGGATCGGTCACCGGGACCAGATAGTTAGGCTTCCGAGCCTTCGGACTCATGCTGGAGCTCATCCTGGAGCCCTCTGGTCCCAGTGACCGACCCAGATTGGATCCTGCAACATTATCCTCCTGGGACTTATTTTGCCTTCATTCGAGAAGTTAACTCTTGCAAGCCTCTTCAGAATCTTGGTTTAAAGGAGGGTACCTTCATTTGCCAGCAGGAGGCGCTGTTGCAGGTACACTGTCACTCTCACTCTCTCTCCCTCCTTCCACGCACCTTGGCAAGGAAATGACCTAGGAGGAAACCTCTGGCTGTGTAAACAAAGGGGGGAGGAAAGTGCACCCCCCCCCTCAGCAACTGAGTTTCAGGAGTTGCCGTCGGAGCCCAAAGTGAGTGAAGGGCGAGAGCGGCCTCTGCCTTGCCGGAGGGGCGCGCGCGTGCGCGAGACGGCTGCTCGAGGCCAGCTGGGCGCTTCTGCCGGTGGCGGGGCCGCCGGGGCCAATAGCCAAAGGATGCCCATCCTGCACTTGCACTCCATGCTTGAGCTGCTGCCTTTCTTGCTGCTGATGCTGCTCTTTTTGGTGGTGGGCTTTTTTCTGATATATCTCCAGCGACCCGAGCCAGACCCCAAAAAGTATTAGGGGCCCCGGGGGCGCGTTTTCCCAGCGTCAAGATGCCAGCGCGGCCCTGCTGACCCCGGAGGTGTAGAAGGCGAGAGAGCAGGTGGGTGTCCGTCCAACTTCTCCTTCTCGCTTTCTCGGGCCTGCCTAAGAAACTCGGGGTGCGGGTCTTTTTGAGGTGATGGGTCTTTCCTCCCCCTTGATAAGTTGGCTTCCCTGTTGAAAAGCTGATTTTTAAAGTACAGGTAGTCCTTGACTTACGACCACAATTGAGCCCAACATTTATGTTGCTAAGTGACATTTGTGGTGAGTTTAGCCCCATTTTACCACCTTTCTTGCCCCACTTATTAAACGAATCACTGCAGTTAAGTTAGTAACACGGTTGTTAAGTGAATCTGGCTTCCCCATTGACTTTGCTTGTCAGAAGAACTCAAAAGCGGATCATGTGACCCTGGGCTACTGCAACAATCATAAATATGAATCAGTGGCCAAGCAATTTAATTTTTGATCATGTGACCATGGAGATGCTGCAAAGAAATGGTCATAAGTCTTTTTTTCAGTGCTGTTGTAACTTTGAATAGGTCACTAAATGAACTGTTATAAGTTAGGAGTAGCTGTAGAGCCATCCGCCCACACTCAAAAGTCTTTGTGGTTAATTTGTTGGATTGTATCAGTCAGTGTTTTTATAGGTAGGTTTAAAAGAGGAATGAAGAGTCTCTCTGGTTTTGCTCCACTCCCAGGGACTTGTTGAACACATCAGCATCACATCGTAGGCAACAGTATTGAAGTGGTTGCCTTTTGGTGTCTTTCCCCCCAAAAAAAGTTGTTTTCAGGAGTTGGAATAGAACCAACATTGTTGTGTATTTAATCTGTGTAGACACTTATTTCAAATACATGATGCTAGGTGACTTACAATATTAAATGAGTAAAAATATATACATAAAACACACAGTGGGAAAAATCCTGAAAAGATATCTATTAACACATCTAGGACGCAGGCACAAAATAAGACAACAACAACAACAGTAATAATAATAATAATAATAATAATAAAGTTGGAAGGGACCTTGGAGGTCATCAAGTCCAACCCCTGCTCAGGCAGGTAACCCTATACCATTTTGGACAAATGGCTGTCCAGTCTCTTCTTAAAAACTTCCAGTGTTGGAGCATTCATCTTCAAGCCTTTAGGAAAGGCCAGCGGGGTTGGGGCTAGTCTGATCTTTGGAGGGTTGGTGTTCCAGAAGTTGGGCATCAAGCAACTGTAGTTCTGTGTGGCATTGCGTTCCCCCCAAAAGAGCTCATTCATAATATGAGAGCCCCGAATTCATAGCTGCTGTGGAACAGCTAGTGAGAACTGTGGCCCTGAGAGCTTTTGGCCATTCCTGAAATAGGTTACAGCCTCTAGATCAGCAGCCCCCAATCTTTTGGGCACCTGGGACCGATTCTCTAAAGAGAGGTTTTTCTGGGGACTGGAGGGGGTATGGTTTTGTGTGCTGCCTGCATCCCGTGGATGGGGCTTCGCTTGTTTGCATGGTCCGGTTTCTGGCATGCCACGGACTGGTGCTGATCCACGGACTGGGGGTTGGGGACCCCTACTTTAGACTGCTTATCCCAGAAAGAATCTGCTGGCCTATGGCATGTTGGCAGGGTGTGCTGGTTGAGAACTTCTTTACTCATGAGGTACAACTAGAGAAGATTTGGTGGAAAACTTTCTCCATCCCTGTGGTACAACTTACCTTCAGAACTATGATCTATGTCCTGATGTATGATGTTTGGAAAGTTAGTCAAGACCTGTCTTTTTCAAAGAGTAATTTGGGACCCAACCATTGTACCTGGGATGAGTGATGAGTATTGGTTTTGGATGACTGTCTCTCTTTCTTTTAAACAGGTTATCTTTTGTGGATGATGCGCTTATATGTGTTTGCTTTTGTAAGACACTTGGGATCAGCCAGATGAAGTAATTGTAGTTATAAACAAGGTCAGATAACCATTTTAGGCAGCTATAAATTGTGGGAACACATATTTGGGCGGTGATCCAGCTCATTTGTTTATGCATTTGGTCACTTGAAAAGAATGAAGAACTTGTAGGAATTGGGTACACACACACACAAGTATGTCCAGCTTAGGAATTTGGCTAAGTATATTCTAAGTGATTGGCTGCTTGTCAGTGGAATCTCCTGCAGAAATTCTGAAAAAGTTCTTAAGTATTCTTCTATGGTCTCATGTTATCTCAGGGCCACAATCATAAGCCCAGAAAGCAACTTTCTGGTTAGCTGTCATCTTGACCTAGGCTAGCTGTCATTAGGACCTTTGCTGAAATTCTGTATAACCA